TAACCCACAAAGTATTAGTCATCTACTCACAGTAACTCTTCATTGACTGTTCTTCATGTTTTATTCCCAAACACAAAAGGGAGGATAGCGTTCTATGCTCTCTTTCAATTCAGGTGTGGGCTGTGAGGATTGTTACCTGATAACTTAGAAAGAGAAAGGAGGAAGGAAAAGTGTGTTACATCTTTCTTGGCCTCTTTTTAGGGCTATTCCTTATCGGTGCAATATGAAGTAGGCTAGAGAGAAAATGGCAAGTATAATAAAATCTCTCTCACCCCTTTCTTAAATAGGTAATATGAGCATCCATCTGGGTATAAAACAGGATTAGCCATAACACATCACTTCTTCTGTATGAAAGCTTCCTTACATCTGATTTTAGAAATATTGTATCAAATTCATTCTCTTGTGAAAGTGAGCATGTAGAAAACCAACTTTCATTTTCTCCTATTATTTTTTTAATGAAAATCCTCCATAAAACAGTTGTTACTGTTGCTGAAACCGAGTAGCAAAGGTTTCAGATCAGGTGGTTTCTAGTATTTTTGAGTGATGTGGTTGAAGTCTAACACAACCCTTGACTTTTTTATTTCTGTTACCTGATAACTTAAAAAGAGGAAAGGAAAAATTAAGGGTATTGCATCTTCAATAATGATGTCATATACACTTTTAGTATTGTTTTGTTAGGAATGAAAGGAAGAAGGAAGATATTTCCCAGAACACAGAATTAATTTGGATGATTTGCCAAGTCAGTCAAGTCGTAGAATAAAAATGAAAATGTAGGGCTTCCCTGGTGGCACAGTGGTTGAGAGTCCGCCTGCCGTTGCAGGGGACACGGGTTCGTGCCCCGGGCTGGGAAGATCCCACATGCCGTGGAGCGGCTGGGCCCGTGAGCCATGGCCGCTGAGCCTGCGCGTCCGGAGCCTGTGCTCCACAACGGGAGAGGCCACAACAGTGAGAGGCCCACGTACCGCAAAAAAAAAAAAAAAAGAAAAGAAAATGTAGCCCTACTTAATGGATAATAAACAAATAAATAAATGAATATTTAAGAAACAAAATGTAATACATCTTCTTGACAAAGTAGGAAGGTGTAATATAAACCTATTTTCATTTTTACTAAAGAAAAGAAAACTTAATCATTTTAGTCTTTAGCGTAGCTTAACTTTTAGTATCTGAAAGTTACAAATGATGTAAGGAATTAAAATGTGTTTTAAATTTGACATTTTTATATTTATCATTCCTCTTTCATGTTTTTTTCTTCCGATTAAGAATGGCTAAGAAATCCTGTCATAGCTCTAGACTTTTGTTGCTATTTTGATTTCTGTTGTTTCAGAAACAAATGACTTTGTATTAATTAAACTAAGTGCACCTTCCCTGACATTGTAACAGAGAAATAGACTTCCCCGAAAATACTCTTCTGAACATTCTTAGAGAAAATTCTCATATTCTGAAATAGAAATTGAGAGAATAGTATAATGAAAACCACATACCCATCAGCCAACGTCAACAATTATCAACCTGTGGTCATTCTTGTTTCACCTCTACTGCCACCTATTCCCTTCACCCACCAGAATGGTGGTGATATTTTTTTAAATAGACTTAATTTTCTTTAGAGCAGTTTTAGGTTCAGGGCAGAACCTAAAACTTTCCATATACTCCCTGCCCCCACCCATGCATAGCCTCCCCCATTATCAACATCCACCACCAGAGGGGTAGATTTCTTACAATTGATGAACTTACACTGATATGTCATTATCACCCAGAGTCCATAGTTTACATTATGGTTCACTCTTGGTGTCAACCAGAGTGTTTTTAAGCAAATTCCAGATATCATTTAATTTTACCTGTACAAACTTCAGTTGTACCAGGATAAGAACATAAAAAAATATATAACCACAGTAACACGCTTAAACATTTAATAATAATTCCTTGACACAATCAAATATTCAATCAGTGTTCAACCTACCCCAATTGTCTCATAAGTAAGTAGGGGGTTTTGTACTTTGTTATTGTTGCTATATTTTTAAAATCATGATCCATATAAGGTATATGCAGAGGTGAGGATGAGGCAGTGACTCCTATGCCACTAGAGGACGCTGGGCGTACACCAAGACTAGGCCTGCGTCAGTGGTTCAGGCGGTGTGGACTGGAGGTGCTGAAGTAGGAGCTGGTGATGCTCTAGTTATTACTGCAATGAAAATCCATTAAAAATTCACCTCAATCTGCATGATCTGGAAAGAAGTCTCTTATTTTAACGCCTAAAATCATAACTTTTTTCAATGTGTTTTTCTTTAGAGTTCTATGTACTCCTTCTCAAATCCATTATATGACACAACATCAGGAAGCCTGGAGACTGAATCTAATCATCTCAAATAGTACCATCAAGATCAAGTATGCTTGGGACTTCCCTGGTGGTCCAGTGGTTAAGACTCTGAGCTTCCATTGCAGGGGGCGCGGGTTTGACCCCTGGTTGGGGAACCAAGATCCCACGTGCTACATGGTGTGGCAAGAAAAAGAAAAACCAACCAACCAGCCAACAAACAAAAAAAAGATCAAGTATGATCTTATATTCCAGTCCGTGAAATCTGATAGAAACTCATGCAATAGTAAAAATAGGAGGGATTCAGAATACTACTCTAATTATTACATTTACAAATAAATTGTCTTATGGAATATATTGAATGTTTTCATGGAATCTGAATCAGAACCTTATCTTCATTATATATATGAATAGTTTGATAAAATGTTCCACTTAAGTTTCTTGTTTTCCTTTCATTTTTTTAAAGGATGAATCAAATTGTTTCAGATCCTGAATATAAAGATGTTTTAAGATGCTTATTTAGATGCCATTGACCTTAGAAACAAAGTTGAACTGACTTAGTATACAAACTAACTAGCAGGAATGGGTGGACAAATCATAGTAATCCTAACAACATAACCATGAGTAAAATTTATTTCTGCATTTTGGAAAAAATGTGATAAATTATCATCCTAAACTTCCTTTCATTCAAATAATCATTTAACATCTATCTTTACATAGATATAAAAATATTGCTAAAATATATGTCAAGAAGCTTTGTTGTTCTGAACGTAATAGAGAGCCCAGAAATAAACCCACACACTTATGGTCAATTAATCAACAACAAAGGAAGCAAAAATATACAATGAAGAAAAGACATTCTCTTCAGTAAGTGGTTCTGGGAAAACTGGACAGCTACATGTAAAAGAATGAAATTAGAACACTTCCTAACACCATACACAAAAACAAACTCCAAATGGATTAAAGAACTAAATGTAAGACCTGAAACCATAAAACTTCTAGAAGAAAATGTAGGCAGAGCACTCTACATAAACTGTAGCAATATTTTTTGGATCTATCTCCTAAGGCAAAAGGAACAAAAAGCAAAAGTAAACAAATGGGTCCTAATTAAACTTAACAACTTTTGCACAGCAAAGGAAACCATTCACACAACGAAAAGACAACTTACTGAATGGGAAAAAATATTTTCAAATGACATGACCAATAAGGGGTTAATATCCATATCCAAAATATATAAACAGCTCATACCACTCAATATCAAAAAAATAACCCAATTAAAAAATGGGCAGAAGACCTGAATAGACATTTTCCCAAAGAAGATATACAGATGGCCAACAGGCACATGAAAGGATGCTCAACATCACTAATCATTAGACAAATGCAAAGCAAAACCACAATGAGGTATCACCTCATGCGGGTCAGAACGGCCATCATCAAAAATTCTACAAACAATAAATGCTGGAGAGGGTGTGGAGAAACGGGAGCCCTCTTGCATGTTGGTGGGAATGTAAATTGATACAGCCACTATGGAGAACAGTATGGAAGTTCATTAAAAAACTAAAAATAGAACTACCATATGACCCAGCAATACCACTACTGGGCATATACTCTGAGAAAACCATAATTCAAAAAGAGACATGTACACAATGTTCATTGCAGCACTATTTGCAATAGCCAGGACTGGAAGCAACCTAAGTGTCCATCGACAGATGAATGGATAAAGAAGATGTGGCACATACATACAATGGAAAATTACTCAGCCATAAAAAGGAACGGAATTGAGTTATTTGTAGTGAGGTGCATGGACCTAGAGTCTGTCATACAGAGTGAAGTAAGTCAGAAAGAGAAAAACAAATACTGCATGCTAACACATACATATGGAATCTAAAAAAAAAAAAAAAAAGGTTCTGATGAACCTAAGGGCAGGACAGAAATAAAGACTCAGACGTAGAGAATGGACTTGAGGACACAGGGAGGGGGAAGGGTAAGCTGGGACGAAGTGAGAGAGTAGCAGCATTGATGTATATACACTACCAAATGTAAAATAGATAGCTAGTGGGAAGGGGTGGGATGGGGAGGGGGAGAGCGAGATGCAAGAAGGAGGGGATATGGGGATATATGTATACATATAGCTGATTCACTTTGTTATACAACAGAAACTAACACAAGACTGTAAAGCAATTATACTCCAATAAATTTGTTAAAAACTAAACAAATATAATCAAGATCTTTGCCTAACTTCTTAAAGAAGCAGTGAATTAAAATTCAGGTATGGTTTTAGTAAAGACCTCAAAGCTAATGCATGAAAAATGTAGAGAAGGTGCAAAAGAGATAATGAAAATGATTATCCAACTTAAATTGACTTGTTTCATAGGAATACTGAGAGAATTCATAACATATGTAGCTCCTGATTGAGACTAATGACAGAAAATCTACAGAGCCTAAAAATTAAGATACTCTTAAAAGTGTTCAAAATTTTCTTCGGGAGCAAGTTAAATGTGCTCTAAAATATTTAAGTCAAATATTTGTGAGGTCTTATAAATATATATGTCAATTCTATGAAACTAAACTAATAAAATTGATTTTTCTTATCCAATAAGTAGAAGAGGTAGATGCTTATGTTGTTTTCATAATTTAATGTAAGATTTAGAAAAAATTTATTTTTATTTGCATATTTCTTCCTCTGAAAACTTTTTGATATAAGTCCAAATTTGCACCATTGTGATTTTTAAAATAGGCAAAGGAAGAAGAAAAATAGAGGAAGGGACAACAGGAAGTATACGGAGTCCACAAATTATATAACTCAGCTTTAAATCATAAAAACATCTCAGATTTCACAATGGACAGAGAATCTATTGAAAACAATTTTTTTTTTTTAAGCTGGTGGATGTCAGGAGAACAGATACTAATGAGTAGTGCTGACAGATTCTTAGGACTTTGAGTGCACAAATATTTAAGACAATATCTTATTGCTAACTGGATTCACGTGACCAACCTGCTCTTTCCCAAAATATACTTTAAGCATATTAATAACAATAGCAACATTAATAGCAAGCTAATAAGTACTAATTATCTGCCAAATACTGTTCTAAGTAGTTTATGTGTTTTAACTCACATACATGGAAATAATGTGCTGTATAGTATGTTAGCCACGTGTGGATATTTAATATGAAATTTAAATTAGCTAAAATTAAATAAACTTTTAAAGTGCATTTCTTTAGTTGTACTAGCCACATTCCAAGTGCTCAGTAACCACATGTGGCTTGTGGCCACTGTATTGCACAACACAGAGAACATTTCCATCATCACATAAAGTTTTCTCCGAGAGCACTGGCTTAGAACAATATTGAAATATTTTCCTGTGAATAGCACAGCAGTAATCTCTATAAATCTAATAAGCACTAAAAATATTTCCCAGTATGTATATTTTAACTAGAATCAGCCAAATTTTAGCATAGTAATGTTATAAATAAGACAAACCATGTTTAGCTGTAAGCAAACTAGCAAACATATGTGATAAAGAAGCATATTTTAATAGTGCTTTCTTGGTATATAAATATAACATATCATTCTGTTATACCCATATCATCTTTGCCTACTTTTTTCTACATTTAGATGGCATTTTGAAAGAATTGTGTAAAAATTTGCTTTTCCCTTTTCATCTTCATGGCTGTCAATCATTTTTCACATTTATCACACCAAGAACTGAAGATTCATGACTCCTTTAAATAATAACCGCCTTGTATTTTGCATTTAAGGGCATGTACTTTAGGTAAACCAACTACTATATTCATGGCAATGTCTTTCGCAATAAGTAGTCTTAAACTTTATTCTTAAAAATAAAAACCAGGGAACATCCATAAAAGGACTCTGAATTTTTTTCCAAAAAGCCTTTTAAAAAATAAGATTTCAAGTATATATTTCACTGTCTGAACAATGACAGCTTTGTGAGTCTTAGAAGTAGTTATTCTGCTTTTCTTTGTATCAACTTGCAGAATGCCTGGGATTTCTTTGCTATTGTATCTAGAAAATCAGTTCAAGGGTTAATGTCTAAAATAAGTAACATCAAATTCAAGACCTTGCTCTTTAAATAATTAGAAGTGAAAAGACACCACTTTCTACAAGCACCCACTTTGTGAAATTTCAGTGAAACTGGTTGCATGCCATATCTTGAATTAAAGAACTCATTAACTATGAAGCAAAGTATGCATGCAAATAAATAAAAGAATGAATGAATGACTTAAAGATCTTAAAGATCCACTTAAAAATTCACATGATACATGTCATTAAACATTCTGAGAGAGTAAAGAACACATTCTCTTCTCTAGAATGTGGAAGCAATAATAAAGAGCTTTTTATTCTTCTAATTTTTAAAATGTTTATTTATTTAGGCCTGGTTCTTGCCCCTTTCAAGACAACTCCCTCAGAGTTTTATAATATTTTCCCAGAGTTGTGTTACTAAGAAATCAGCTGAGGAAATTAGCATAATTATCTGCAGTCAGTATATAATTTGGGGCCAATAAAAGAAATGCCAGCGTAAGAGATCAGGAATAAGAAACCTTGTTTCTCTATCAAGCTTTTTATTTTATTTTTTTAATAACAGACAATTAGTCTATCACTAACCATAAACTAATGGCTAAAGAAAAAAATTAGTCACTGTGGGATAACTATATTGTCATTAATTTGTTCAACAAATATCTGTAAAGAAATATTTACAGTGAAAGAAGTGAGACAAGGCAGTGAGACAGTGAGAGGAGAGGTAAGTAACAAACACTCTATATTATGTGGATTCATCCCATCTGGGACTTCTATCCTCCCCTCGATGCTGATCTCATAACTCTTCTTTACATTGTTAGCACCCAAGTTTCTTCAAATATCTAAGGTAAGAAATTAATAAAATAGAAAACATATAAAATGAAGTGGATCAATAAAACTGTGTTGTTTCTTTAAAAAGTGTAATAACCCCCTGATGAAACTTTGGGGAAATAAAGCATAAAATGAAAAAGCTCTTAGGAAACAAACCAAAGAAAAAAGATAATGTACAAATAGCCAATGTCAGAAATGGAAATGATAAAATCATTACAGATCCCAGAAATAGGAGGGTAATGACAGTATTGTAAAAAAAAAAAAAGACAAAAGAACTTTACAACCAAAAATATAAAAATATCAAACTCTAGAGGAAATAAACAAATTCCTGGAAAATTACAAATTTCTAAAAAAAACTTAAGAAGTAGAAGACCTAAGTAATCCTATACCAGTTAAAGTAATTGATCCATACTTCATCTTCCTTCAGAAACTCTAGGTTCATAAGATCCACTAGCAAATATTATAATACTTTAAAAAAATAAATAGGGCTTCCCTGGTGGCGCAGTGGTTGAGAGTCCGCCTGCCGATGCAGGGGACATGGGTTTGTGCCCCGGTCCAGGAAGATCCAACATGCCGTGGAGCGCCTGGGCCCGTGAGCCTTGGCCGCTGGGCCTGCGTGTCCGGAGCCTGTGCTCCGCAACAGGAGAGGCCACAACGGTGAGAGGCCCACGTACCGCAAAAAAAAAAAAAAAAAGTAAATAATGCCAGACATATAAACACTTCAAGAGAACAGGAAAAGAGATAATGCTTCCTAACACATTTTATGAGGACAGCAAAATTTCGATACAAGCTCTGACAAAGACATCACAATAAAGGAAAATTTTAGGTCAATGTTACTCATAAAAACAGATGTGAAGTACTAAATGTATATTTTTTATTATGAATATATCACTGTTTTCATATTTATTCCACAAATCTAAGTTTAACTTTAAAAATCAATCATTAACAGAATGAGAATAAAAGCACATGATCATTTTAATATATGCATAAAAAGCATTTGGTCACTACAACATCTGTTCATAATAAAAAATATCTTAGAAGACTAAAAAGAGAATTTTTCTAATGTGATAAAAAGTGGCTACAAAAATACTCACAACTATACTTAATGGTGGAATGTTGATTTCAATTTGGTATTAGGAATGAGCCAAGAATGGCCACTAATACCACTTCTTTTAAAATATTTGAACTTTTTACTGGTGATCCTAGTGAGAAAATAAGACATAAAAAAAGAAATATATATATATATAAGTATTGGAAAAGAAAAAATACATTGTCATTATAGATAGTATAACAAGTTTGTTAGATACAAGAATAATATATAATGCTCAATTGAATATATATCTTGAAGAAACATAAAACAAATTATTTTAAATGAAACTATCATAATAAATTTAAAATAAATACATTGGAATAATAAATCTTACAAAAGACATATATGGCCTAAAATATTGAGAGATATTAAAATAGGCCTATAAATAGATACAATATTTGATTTTTCCAAATTAATCTGTAAAGTCAATAAAATCCCCATCAAATTCCTGTCAGATGGTTAAGACCTGAGAAGCTGGCTCAAATTTATATGGAAACACAGTGGGCCAAATTTAGCCAGGAAACTCTGAAAGAATATGGTCTGAGGAGTTCTTTACTGTATATCATATACAAAGTTAGAATAATTAGTGCATTGTGGTGTTGGCATAAAAATAACCAAATCGACCAATGACACAGAATAGAGATCCCAGAAACAAATACTATATACATGGGTACCTGACTTACCCATGTGGCGTTGTGGAACAGTGCAAAAAGGAGGACATTTTCAATGATAAGCTTAAACTTCTGTTTCAATTTAGAAAAATAAGGGCAATCTGACTCCCACTATAAACTTTACATGAAAATCATCCCTAGGTGGATTTTACTGTATATGTAAAGGTAAAAGGCACAACAATTAACCTCCCAGGCTGACCTAGAATATAGAAAAATGTGATTATTATCTCCAAGAAGGGAAGGACTTCTTAACCAAAAAATTAACCATAATTAACAATCAATAAATTGGATGACATTATATTTAGAAACTTCTGCTCAACAAAATTGAGACAGTGAAGAATGAAACACAGCGTGTGAGAAGTTATTTGCAACCTATAAGCCCAAAAAAGAACTTATATGTCTAATATGTTTTAAAACATTGTAAATCAAAAAAAAAAAGAAAAAGAAAAATTGACAAGCCACTTGAATAGGAAATCTACAAAAGAAGATGAGTCAATAAACATATGAATAAATCCTTAACCTTATAAATCATCAGGCAAATCCAAACTAAATGTGCCAGTAGGTAACACTAGATGTTAGGCTAATATATATCGCTATATGCAAGATAGAATGACTGAAATTTTAAAAGACTGACAATACCAAATGTTGCTGTTGCGGACTGAATATCTGTGCCCGTCTCCCGCAATTTAGTATGAGGTCATGAGTGTGGGGCCCTCATGATGGGATTAGTGACTTTTTAAGACAAGAAACCTGAGAGCTTGCCGGCTGTCTCTCCTCCCTTAAGCATACAAAGAAGAGATCATGTGAGCACGAAGTAAAATGGTGGCTGCCTACAAGCTAAGAGACGAGGCCTCAGAATGAAACCTGCCTTGCTGGCACCTTGATCTTGGACTACCCAGCTTTCAGAAATGTGAGAAATAAATCTTTATTGTTTAAGCCACCCAGTCTATGGTATTTCGTTATGACACCCTGAGTTAACTAAGACAGTGAGCAAATACCAAGGATGCTGCCTATACAAAGTATACAATGACAAGGAAATGAAGCAACTGAACCCTTCATACTTGCTGGGGATGGTGTAAATTTGTTTGTAATTATCTACTAAGGCTGAGCATATGCATACCCCATAACCCAGCAATTCACCCTCTTCAGGAATTGCATACATATGTGAATCCAATAAATATATGCATCCAATAAAATGTGCAATCAACAAAATTGCATACATATGTGCATTAAGAAATGATGATTCTTGCATTATTTGTAATAGGGAAAATTCCAAATATCTGTCCATTGTATATACATATATTAAATAAAGTGTAGCCTATTAATACGCTAGAAAAATATATAACAATGAAAGTGAACAAACTATAGGTATTTGCAACAACAGTGATGAATCACACAAGCATAATGTTGAGTAAAATAGGGTAGATGCAAAAATATCATACATATTAGGAACAGTATTTAGGTGTGAAAGTCCAGAAGGTAAAACCATGAAAGAAAACATGAAAGGAGATATGCAATATTGGCAATGCCCTACTCTTTTTGACTTAGGTGCTGTAACACAAGTATGATCTTTGTGATAATTCATGAACTATGCATTTTTAAATGTTTTTGAGATATAATTCACATACCATAAAATTTACTATTTTAAATCGTAAAATTCAAAGGTCTTTAGTATATTCAACTACTATGCATTCATCATCGTTCACTAATTCCAGAATATTTCTATCACCGCCCCCTCAAAAGAAACTGTATGCTTTTTAGCAGTCAATTCCCAGCTCCTCAAATCCCCTGGCAGTCACTTATCTACTTTCAGTCTCTGCAGATTTGACCTGGATACTTAATAGAAATGGAATCATACAATATGTGACTTTTTTATGTCTGACTTCTTTCACATAGAATAATGTTTTCAAGATTATCCATCATGTAGCATGTATAAGTACTTCTTTACTTTTCATTTTTGAATTATATTCCATTGAATGGATATACCACATTTTTAAAATCTATTCCTCAATTGATGGACATCAGGATTGTTTCCACTTTTTGGCTTTTCTGAGTAGAACTGCTATGAACATTCATGGACAAGTTTTTATGTGAACATATGATTTCAGCTCTCTTTTGTATATACCAAAGAGTGAAATTGTGGATCATAAATTAACTCTATGTTTACTTTTTCAGGTACAGCCAAACTGTTTTCTATAATTGCTGCATCATTTTACACTTCTACCAGCAATGTTTAGGGTCCCAGTATCTCCACATTTTCACAAAGATTTGTTATTGTCCATATATTTTTTATAGCTACCCTAGTTTTTATGAAGAGGTATCTTATGGTTTTGATTTGGATTTCCTTAATAACTAATAATGTTGGGCATCTTTTTATGTGCTTACTGGCCATTGTATATCTTCTTTTTTTTTTTTCTCCTCTGGTTGTTTGTGACCTAGGTGAAATAAGTCAGAGAAAGACAAATACTGTATGATCTCACTTATATGTGGAATCTAAAAACAAAATAAAACAAAACAAAAATGAACTTATAGATACAGAGAACAGTTTGATGGTTGCGAGGCTGGGGTGGGAGGTAGGGGAAATAGGTAAAAGTGGTCAAAAGGCACAAACTTCCAGTTATAAGTAAGTTCTGAGGATATAATGTACAGCATGGTGAGTATAGTTAATAACACTGTATTGCATATTTGAAAGGTGCTAAGAGAGTAGATCTTAAAAGTTCTCATCACAAGAAGAAAAACTAACTATATGTGGTGACAGATGCTAACTAAACTTATTGTGGTTAGCATTTCACAGTACACACACACAGCAAATCATTATGTAATACACTTTAGTACAATGTCTTATGTCAATTATATTTTAATAAAAGTGTAAAAAATATAATTATTATAAAAAAGTAATTTGTATTAGTGAATTTGAAAACCTGGATAAAATTAATAATTTTCTAGGGAAATGCCAATTATAAAAATTGATTCAAGAGATCACAAATAGCAAATAGCAAAGAAAAATATAATTTTGACTCATGTTAGTTATAAAAATTGATACCAAAGTCCTGGATTAAATTTTACCAACTCTCAGGCAGGCTAATTGATTTTTTTCTGATGGGAATTAGTCTATTAAGCAATATCCCTGTGTCTTGCTAAAGTTAGTCAGGGTAGGTTTCTGTTGCTAACAACCAAAGAAAACCAACTGAAGCATAAATTGGGGCTTGCCTTAGTCAACTTGAGCTGCTGTAACAAAAAATATTTTAGACGGGGTGGCTTAAACAACAAAAATTTATTTCTTACAGTTCTAGAGTCTGGGAAATCCAAGATCAAGGTGCCAGCAATGTAGGTTTCATTCTGAGCTCTCTTCTCTTAAATTATAGGCAGCTGCCTTCTGTGTGCTCACACAACCTCTTACTTGTGTTAGGGCAGAGACAAGGAGAAATAAACTCTCCTTGTGCCTCTTCTTTTCCAGGCATTAATCCTATCATGAGGCCCCACCCTCATGACCTCATCTTAACCTAATTACTTTCGCAAAGCCTTATCTCCAAATACCATCACATTATGGTTAGTGCTTTGACATGTGAATTTTGGAGAATACAAACTTTCAGTCCATAACAGTGCTGTTACATGGGACCCGCAATGGTATTTTGTTACATTTTTCATAGATCATAGGTGTGGGAAACATATCAAGAATTGGCTGAGAAAATAATAGAATAAGAATGTAAAGTTCAGATCTTAATTTAGACAGTGACCTGTGATTGTAGAGCAAGAATGGATTACAAAATCTATTCCTTCAGCTTTCTAGTAATTCCTTCATTCCTTTTTACAGATACATTCTGTTTATTGTCCACTATTAGGGATTAATCATATCAATGAAAAGTTGTTTTAATAAAAATATCATTAAAGTAATGTAAAAATATTATTTTTATAGATTTTCAGAAAGCATTCTGTGATATGAGATCAGACTGTAAGAGCAGGATGGTTAACTTTTAGAAACTTCAGTTTTAGAAACTTTTAAAAATGAAAACTCATAGAAAGTTAATTAACACTGAGTGAAAATTTTGAAATTCTTTAAAATAAGTCATGAAGAATCACAAAAAATATTTATTTGCCAAATTTTTCATAGATTTGATCTAGTAGAACACAAGTCCTCTTAACTTTGCCAAATTGTATTTGTTCCCAATGAACACAATTCCACTTAACTCTGACTTTCCTAATAAACATTTCATGGTTAAGATTAGGAAATATATTATTACTCAGAAATCAATTTACACGGCCTTACTTTTATTTCAGATGTAAATATTTTAAGTACTGAATTGTGTTAAACTTGGAAACAAGATAAATAAAATAAAGGTCTCAACATTATTCATTATTAATCTTCATATGGCAACAATTTTCAAGAAGTGGAGGGTATTTAGTGCTAAATTAAAGCAGACTTATGATAGAACTCGACATTATAATGACATTAGTATCAAGGATGATAATAATTTATGTGTGTCCACAATTTAGTAATGATTTCCCAGTGTACTAAGTAGGAAATGTATTCATTTAAATGAGATTAATTCTGTCCAGGTAGGTAAGTAGCATACTCAGGCCCATGAATAATTCTATCCTGTGTCTGTACATAAGTGTTACATTGTATGGAGAGAAAGGAAACGTCCTCACGTCCAGACAACATGCAATTCAATAGGGAGATTTGCAATGATGGAACAAACAAACTATTGATGCAAGTTAGGCTCTTAAGAACAATGTAGAGATAGAGGTAGATGTAGATAGCTATAGATACAAATACAGATGGGTGTATATAGATGTGTGTGTGTATATATATATATATATATAGAGAGAGAGAGAGAGAGAGAGAAAGAGAGAGAGAGAGAGGTCATATCATTCTGGTTTATGTCAAATCATAAGATTGAGGCCTTAATCCTTTCTTTTGCTACCTTCTCTACTTTATCCAAGTCTAAGACAACTTTTCCATGGCCATCATGGAAAGAAGTCACCTCTCCACACCTGCCCAGCTGAGCCAAGACAGGGAATGTTTCTAGTGGTCAAATTCTTAGTGACCTCCTCTAAGGTCACTAAGGTCCTCTAAGGTCCTCTAAGGTGGTGACCTCCTCTAAGGTCACTAAGGTCCTCTAAGGTCCTCTAAGGTGGTGACCTCCTCTCTGTCGGCACAGTTCTTGGGTTCAGGGGGCTCTGTTCCTCAAGAGAACCCACTGCAACAGACTGAAGGCAGATCTTCCCCTCCGTGTAAAAAACATTAGGGAACTTACAGAGAAGCTATAAACTTAAAATCGGTTGACTTACATTTTTAATAATGTGTGTATCAGAAAATTTATGGGTTTTTTGTAGTGCCTATAAAACTATAAAAATCCCCCTAGTTTTTAATACATTTTTACATCTTTCTACAAAACGAATCCCCTGGGAAATATTTATTAGAAAAAGACTTTGGAATTTCACTTTTTGAAGCACATTCCATGAAGTGCAGCATAATCAGACATATTATATTGTAAAATTAAGTAGAGTAAAATATTGAACATTACCAATTAAAATTATAAATGTTAGCAGGAGAAAATGGTGCGAAGTATCCAGTGCCCTAAGTATAAAGACAAGACAAATTATGCCTGTACCAGGTAGGATTTTCATGATCTAGAGATTTCTGGAAACGAATTTCACAAGAGTGCTAGACACTTTGCTCTATTAGGATACCTATTGGGCAGATACCCATTTGAAGCTCCCTGAAGCATTTGCATTTCTCCATACTTAAGGTGCTTGCCAGATATAAATATGAAAATAGATCATTTCTAATTCAAAGGAGTGCCCGTTCCATGCTTGGCATTATACATTCCAATGCTTGGAATTTAGCATTGCCACCGCAATTAAAACCAATTCTTTGAAACTGGATTACTCATTCGATGTGCCTTACATTAACCGCAGCACCACCTACCATACTGAAAATACACGTCCAAAAGAGAGAGGATATCTTTCCCAGGAAAGCCTGCCTCAGAATGATTATTTCTAGCTGATGTTACAGAAAAAGCTTCGACAACAGGCACATATCAATTCCGCACAATTCAGCTTGTCCTTCTATGATTGATGTATAATGGTTACTATTGTAGCTCTTCCAAACACTCTTGTTCCTCTTCGTCACTCTCTATCATACCATGACTTGAAAGACAATGAGCATGATGCTGCTTTTGAAAAGCTTTGATCTACTGCAGCATCTAGAAGCAGAACTGAAAAGAAAGAAAGGGGGATGGGAATTTCAGAAAACTAGCCCAGTGGCTGCTCGTTCTGATGCAGAGCATAAACCATTAGCAACCCAAAGATTAGAATGAATGTAGTTCAATTAATGCAAGAAAACGGCCAGTGCTTGATGTGTTTCTGTCAATCATATTACAGCAATAACTATAATTTGGAAGTTGAAAAAATAGGAAGGCTTATATTAGGATTAAAACTCAAGTTTTTGTTTTGTTTTGTTTTTTTGGACTGGAATGTGTTTTATGGCAACTGAAAATACAAATATTCTATTTTCCCTATGCTTTTGGATCCAAAATATCAGCATAAATGAAAATGAAGTAAAACGTATTAGGAACAAATAAACAATGTTATTTCCAATAAAAGTTCTACATTTAAAATTCCTCTTATTGCCTTGGGCTCTTCACACTGTCTGGTATATTTTGAAATATTATACCCTGGAAGGTGATTTTATAATGCAAGTTTATTATTTTTCCTGCCATGGTTAAGCAATAGAAAGTGGAACATTTCATCTTATTGCTTGTTGCTTAGAATAAAATACTTTTAAACTTCCACTACTGTGTTCCATAGTGCTGAAAGTATATATAGAACAAAATATTGTCTACCTTGTCCTTGTCTTTACTATATTAATCCCAGTTATTTTATATTTGTATTTGTAAAGAGAAAAAAGATAGAAGTTTACTGACTTTAGGATTAAACACTTAAAATATATTTGTTCTTTCAATTTACAGCAAATGCTTTATAAAAAGAGAGCATCAGTCTTCATTAATTAAAAAGATTTTTTAAAAGTATAGCACTTTTTATTCTAGAGATTTCCTGTATTATATAGGTAAATTATTATATTATTTTTGTGATTGCTGTAGAGTTTAGAATGTACTTCAACCTTGAAATATAATTTCATGTCTAGTGTAAGAACCCTACAATAGTATTTATTCTTTCATTCCCTCCCTCTTAATGCTATATGCTGTTTTTGTCATAATTTTTACATCTATATATGTCAAAACTACACAATGCACTGTTAATTCTTCTGCATTATCTTTTAAAGCAACTAAAACTATGAAAAAAAGCTACTGTAAATTACCATTATTTTTACCCTTTCCACTCCACTGTTTCTCTAGGTAGGTCTCAATTTCCATCCAATATCATATTTCTCTGTCTAAATAACTTTCTATAACATTCCTTTTAACACAGGCCTGATGGTCATAAGTTCTCTCAGCTTTTGATTCCCTGAAAAAGTCTCTATTTTGCATTCACTTTTTTAACGATATTTTTGCTGAGTATCAAAGTCTGTGATGAGAGATTTTTCTATCATTACTTTGAAGAAGAGTGAAGATGCCATTCCATATTCTTCTAGGCTGTATAGTTTCTAAGGAAAAGAGCGGTGACATTATTATCTTTGTTCCTCTCTATGTAATGTACTTTTTTATTTGTTTTTTCTGTTTGCTTTCCAGATTTTTCTTTTTCTTTTTTTTTACATCTTTATTGGAGTATAATTGCTTTCCAGTGGTGTGTTAGTTTCTGCTTTATAACAAAGTGAATCACTTATACATATACATATGTTCCCATATCTCTTCACTCTTGCGTCTCCCTCCCTCCCACCCTCCCTATCCCAGCCCTCTAGGTGGTCACAAAGCACCGAGCTAATCTCCCTGTGCTATATGGCTGCTTCCCACTAGCTATCTATTTTACGTTTGGTAGTGTATATATGTCCATGCCACTCTCTCGCTGTGTCATAGCTTACCCTTCCCCCTCCCCATATCCTCAAGTCCATTCTCTAGTAGGTCTCTCTCTTTATTCCTGTCTTACCCCTAGTTTCTTCATGACATTTTTTTTTTTAATTCCATATATATGTGTTAGCATACGGTATTTATCTTTCTCTTTCTGACTTACTTCACTCTGTATGACACACTGTAGGTCCATCCACCTCATTACAAATAGCTCAATTTCATTTCTTTTTATGGATGAGTAATATTGTTTATCTCTGGGCTTTCTATCTTGTTATATTGATCTATCGTTCTGTTTTTTTGCCAGTACCATATTGTCTTGATTACTGTAGCTTTGTAGTATAGTCTGAAGTCCAGGAGCCTGATTCCTCCAGCTCCGTTTTTCGTTCTCAAGATTGCTTTGGCTATTTGGGGTCTTCTGTCTTTCCGTAC